TCTATCAAAGGGGAAGCCAGATTCACTTAACAACCATGTTACTAATTTAACAACTGCAGTGATTCACTTAACAATTGTAGTAAGAATGGTGGTAAAATGGGGGCAAAACTCACTTAGCTAATTTCCCACTTAACAAACATAAATTCTGGGCTCACTTGCAGTTGTAAATCTTCCTGTTTATTTGTTTCTGACTTGAAGAAAGTCTGAAGTCCTTTTATTTTATTTATTTTTTATTTATTTATTTTGATTTGTCAATTGCTTACAAGATAATAGGTATAAGTATAAACATAGTTATGAATACATGGATACATATAAGAAAAATAAAAGAAACAATAGTGTGCTGTCCCAGCCAGTCTATGGGAATTGGTTAGTTACTTAGGAATTGTGAGCTGTCCCCTTAAGGGAATGCATCATGGTAAATGTAGTTAAAGGTATCCTGGGAAATGTAGTTCATGTCACGTGGCCACGTCTGTAATCCTGATTGGTCACCAAATTGACCCTTGAGGGGTTGGGGGAGGTTTCCCTCCATTCTTGCCTGGACTTATGAACTGATAAGCAGCTTACCGCTAGGAGATGGGTTAGGAAAATAATCATCCTTTACCTGCAAGGCTGATATACAAAGGATTGGTCATTGTAGAAGAATTTCGTCACAAATGTGAGTCATGAAGATACCTGATGTACCAATAAATGGATGTCTTGTGCAATTATCTATCTGCATCTGCACAGTTACAAATCCACCTCTGTGCATGAGACAGGACAGTAAAAGATGAATCCTAACCCATCTCTCTCTTTGTGAGCATCGGAACTCTTTACATGCTGTGGATGTTGGGAGGGGCTGGAATTCCCCACATGCTAAAAACAAAGAGATTTTTCTACCCACCCACCCACCCCCCTTCTCTGCTCAATTCGTCTTCCTGCTCTCTCAGAGACTCTATTTGCATAACAAGGAGAGTTAGAAAGTTCCCAGTTCTCAAAAGATAATCAAACCTCAGTTGGAAAGTTTGAGAAATCTTGCTTTTATTTTAAATGGAAACCAGAAGCTGATTCTGCTATGCTCATTTGGAAGGGAGACAAAGCCTTTACAATGGATTAATCGTAGTTCCAGAAAGGGGCTAATTTCCCCTCTTTTTCTCTTCAGCGAGAGAAGTGCTTTGTCTCAAATTACAACTCCTAACTGGGAAGACTCAATTTGTAAAATAAAGGGAGGAGCCAGATTTACCCATCTGCCCTGCTTCTCCCCAGTTACTACAGTTGAATCTACAATTTTTTAGCAACTGAAGACAATTTGCTACCTTTTTCTTTCTTTTTTTTTTTTATGAGACAAAGACTACATCTAGCTAGCCATTCCACCCAAAAGCTTCCACAGGAAGTCAGTCATTAAAATACCTTATGGTGGGAGGGGCTGGAGTTCCCCACATGCTACAAAGAAAGAGCTTTCTAACCCCCCCCCTCTTCTCTGCTCAACTTTCAAAAAACCCGCTTGGCTGCTAGGAGGAATTCTCCCGCCTCTTTCTCCATCCACCCACAGAGGCTCAGGAATCTGTCTGGATTACAAAAAAGGAATTTTAGCAGGACTCTGTAAGATTTTCTGAATCTTAAAGCAGCCCACAGCAGCATCTGGTACTCAAAGAAAAATCTCCCTGAGTTTCCAATACGTGTTTGCATTGATAAATACTTTTGAAACTATTGTGAACTATTTAATCAACTTAATTCAAATGTTCCAAGATCACCTGCAACCTAACAGACTCAAGTAAAGCAGCCTATATCTCCATCTGGTGGTCAAGAAGAAATTTACAGTGAAGTCAAATAATTCTTACCATTTTTTTTCCTTCCATAAAAATATTAAACCTAAGCAATGTAGCCCACAGCTACATCTGGGCTCAAGGAGAAATTTCCCAGACTTTGATTTTTTTTACACAGTTTCTCAAATATTGACCAGAGTGATTATGAAACTGTTGTGCACCATTTAATCAATTAATTCAAAGGTCCCAAGAGTACCTGCAACCTAATATGGGCATAGCAACAGTGTCTTCCAGACCCTCTGCTGCCACCCTGTGAAGCAAGTGTACCTTATAGGCATATTTTTTCATTCTGCCCTCAAGTCTTCAGGCTATGCTGCATATATTTCTGCGTTCAGCCCTCTAGTCCTCAGACTTCGCGATGCAACCTCTAATGCCCCCTTCTGTCGCAAGCTCACAACACACCCTAGAAGCAGCCATACCGTATGCTGTGCTAGCATCGCCCAGACTCTGCAGTGCCACCTACATGCTCAAGTATTAAATCCAGCAGCAATTCTACTTTCTGCTACCTGCTTGCAGCGTACCCTATTACAAAAAAGGAATTACACAAAAAACCACTAAAATTTTCCAAAATTCTTCCTTTGCCAATTTGAAGCATGGCAACTTCCTCAGCTATGACAGATATCTCTGATGTACCAGAAGACCTGAATCCTCCACCCACCCTTGTTGTGACCATGGAACCTGTTTCCCAACAACTGCCTTTAGATGTCCAACCCTATGGAGAAGCTGCGATACCTCTGAAAGCTTATGACCTCAGAAAGAGTAAGAAGCTTACCGAATCCATGGAAGAACACTTGAGGAACAATTGGCAGCAGCAATATCACCGCTACACAGACTCATGGGCGAAGCTTGAGAAGATCTGTGATGCCCCAAAACATAAGCTGTCCCCCGAGAAACTCTACACATTGCTAGCTGATCTAAATGCCCTTTTCGCATGGTGGAAACACAGTGAAAACAACCTCAAGTCCATCCAGACAAGAATGGGTGACCCCAAACTCCTAACACACATCCAATACTTCAAGGAGATACACAAGGAATGTGAAGACTGTGTCGAGGAAAGCAAGACAGCCCTCCAGGCAGTGCTCCACAACACGCTTTGGCAGGAAGTAGCATCAAGGGAGCAGGCCACATCCGACATAGCTTCTCAATCACAAGCAGCTTCTTCCCACCACTCAAAGAAAGCCTCCTCCCTCCATCCCAAATCGGCTTCATCGCAGGCAGGTTCCAGTGTCTCGCGCCAATTCTCTGCTGCCGTCTCTCACCATCTTTCCAGAGCATCCTCCCGTCGTAGCGGAGCATCTCAGGCCTCCAAAGCAGCAAGTTACACCGAACGAGCTGTAGAAGCACAAGTTCAAGCTGCAGCAGCAGAGGCAGATTTACATATTACAACAGAGATGATATGGCAGAAGGCTGAACTGGCCAATCAACAAGCAGAAATGGCCTAAGCTCAGGCCAAACAACAAGCAGAAATAGCCAAAACTCAGGGCCAAGTGGAGTTACTCGAATGACAAAGAGAGATGGCAGCGAAAACAGCATGGGCTGCAGCATGGCAGAAGGCGGCCAACGCTGTCTCTCTCAACTTCAACCTCGACGAGTTGGTAGAAGAGAGCCCAGATACATGGGTCAAAGCCTATGTGGACAAGCAGCACTTGCTACAAAATGAGCAGCTGGAACCACCTCAGTTGCCTAGCAGTCTCCCACAACCAGGGAAACACAGGGGTGAATCTCCACCACAGACTTTACACATCAGTTACGCTACTGACATACGACCTAAAATACGAGATTCACTTCCCTCCAACAGCAAACCTTCCCCAACTGATGTGCGTAATAAGGTCTGAGATTCTCTTTACAACGCTAGCATCCCTACTCCAACGTCTCATGGCCTGCCAGGTGAGCAAATTAGCCCAACAGTGCTCACACCAACTTCTCAACAAGTTGACCTGCAACCAATCTCAACTGCCACACTCAATCCACAGGCAGCAGCATTCTTGCCACAACCTCAATACCAATCCGGCTCCCAGGCACCACAAGGTAACCGTGCCCAGCCTACACAGCAGTGTAATGCTCGACCATCGTCCCCAGTTTGGGAGGACGACATCCTCTGTAAGTACTGGGAAGAAGACTACAACCCGTCGTTGACTTACAACCCGAACCCACCCTACGAGAATCCAGGGGGAGAACCCTCTACGTCAATACCTCCCCCCAACTCAGCAAATGCTGAAGATTACTGGAGAAACTTGGCTGTACAGAGTGGAAAGCTAAATCTGCATGCCAACGGAGTTTGCAGATTCTCTGACAAGGCAGGCAGTGAATATCTAGTTTGGAAGAAACTTTTCCTGTGCCCCATTCAAGCGGCACACCTGCACCCTGATGAGATAATTGGACACTTGATAGCATGGCTAGGGCTACAGTCTTCCAACATACCATGGGCAATTTTGACATCCCACTTAGGCGACCCGGCCGCTTCCCTACGGTTATCATGGAAAAAGCTTGATGAACTGTATGGCGCTCCTGAGGATGTAGAAGCAACACTCTTGGATAGCCTCAAGAGTTTTCCTAAAATTCCTATCAACAAGCCTTGCTGAATCATAGACCTTGCTAACATACTTGTCCAGCTGAGAAGGCACAGTGTGATCCCAACTTACCGACACTCGCCTGTCTCGATCACGTCGACACACAGAACAAAATTGTTCGAAAACTTCTGCAGGTGCTAATTGAAAAGTGGCTCCAGTTGACTGACACTTTCCTGGCCAAGGGTCGCCACCGCTTTGTACCTTTCACACTTCTTGAAGAATTCGTCTCCCACCAAGCGACAGTGTGCAACACATACCGAGCCTGTGGACTCAGAGTTGTTAGTCCTCCTAATAACAAAAGATACAACAGCAACCATATATCGCCCTCAGGCCTTATACATACTACCAGAGAAAGACCCTTCATGGTTGTCCATGACACCGAGATTGACTCCTCATCCACACACAGTTGGGGAGAGAACTCCTCAGACACAACCCAAGTTAGATCTCCGAATACAAGGAGAAACCAATTTTGTCCTATGCACAACACTCGTCACTCACTGAACAGCTGCACTGGGTTTGCAGAGAAATCACTGATCCAACGAAAAGAGTTACTAAGGGAGTACCAATACTGCTACAAGTATTGCAAATCCAAACATTCACTCAAATACTGCACAACCAAAGTGTGGTATCACATCTGCAAAAGTGACCAGCACCCGACCGCATCCAGACTCCGAGCCGCCACCGCAGATATCTCATAACCCTCCTTCAAACAAGAAGCCTCAACGAAACACAGAAGCATGCAGGGCTCCTCGGCAGACTGAGCGTCAACTGCACAGCACTGTGCACTGACTCACCACCCCCTCGTTCATGTCTTCCCATCTGTTTAGCCAAAGTGTACCCTGAAGGATGCCCAGAGGACGCCGTGAAAATTTACGTGCGGATAGACACTCAAAGCACCTGCACCCTGGCCAGACCCACATTCTTCAACCTCTTTGAGGTTCAACAGGCCAAACTTCCATTCACTGTATCAACATGCCATGGACCAAGAAGCACGACGGGGAGGAGAGCTACTGGACTTTGCATAGAGTCATTAGATGGAAGTACCCAATTCCCACTACCGCCCGTATTTGAATGTGATGGGATACCGAATGACCGCAGTCAGATCGCAACACCTGAGGTCATAAGTAGCATTCCTCACCTACAGCACCTGGGTCATCACTTTCCTGCTCTAGATCTGGAGGCTGATATCTTACTCTTGCTGGGAATAATGCCCCACGTGCCTTTCTCTTCTCCGAGTCAGTCGGCGGCCCTGTAGACAGCCCAGTGGCCACCAAATCTCCACGAGGATGGGGGATAGTAGGAATTGTCAGTGACACCCAGATGCAGTCTCCAACCCTGGCAAATACCTTAGCACCATCCATTCCACCCGCCTTCCAACGCCCTTTAGCACCACCAAAAACAAGAATGAAGTTCCAGCCTCAAAGGCCACTGCCGATCAGTACACATTCGCTAGAACACCCTAAACGGCTGCCAACATCCACCAGTCGTCCACTAAGAAGCTCTTACATGGGCATATGCCTATGCAACACCCTTTCTAACAGCTTCCCGACGCCCTTTGATACTGTGGAAACAAGAGTACCGCTCCAACCCTAGAAGGCCACCAGAAGCGAACACCAGACTTTCACCTTTGCCAACGAGAATACCTGTACACCCTAAAAGGCTGCCAGAGGTGAATTGCTCCAAGAGGCCGAACTTGAAGACTGAACCTCAAGCTTTGCATGTTTTGCTTTGTTTGATACTTTATTAACGTTTACTGTTTTTTCTTAGTTATGTAGCTAACTGTTTATCTTAGTTATATAGTTATATGCTATTCAGTCAGCATTACTGTTTACTACTTATCTTAGTTTATAGTTATTTTTTTTCTCTTCTCTTAATAGTGGAATTTACAATTCCAGGCGGGGAGTGTGCTGTCCCAGCCAGTCTATGGGAATTGGTTAGTTACTTAGGAGTTGTGAGCTGTCCCCTTAAGGGAATGCATCATGGTAAATGTAGTTAAAGGAATCCTGGGAAATGTAGTTCATGTCACGTGGCCACATCTGTAATCCTGATTGGTCACTAAATTGACCCTTGAGGGGTTGGGGGAGGTTTCCCTCCATTCTTGCCTGGACTCATGAACTGATAAGCACCTTACTGCTACAAGATGGGTTAGGAAAATAACCATCTTTTACCTGCAAGGCTGATATAGAAAGGATTGGTCTTTATAGAAGAATTTCATCACAAATGTGAGTCATGAAGATACCTGATGTACCAATAAATGTACTTTGTTATGGATGTCTTGTGGAATTATCTATCTGCATCTGCACAGCTACAAATCCACCTCTGTGCATGAGACAGGACAAATAGGACAGGGACGGTAGGCACGTTGGTGCGCTTATGCAAGCCCCCTACAGACTTTTTAGGAAAGGGGTGAGGTCAATAGTAGACAGTCTAAAGTTAAAGTTTTTGGGGTTTGGGGAAGAAACCATAGAGTCAGGTAGAGTATTCCAGACATTGACCACTCTGTTGCTCAAGTTGTATTTCTTGTAATCAAGTTTGGTGCTGTTAACCTTGAGTTTGTATCTATTGTGTGCTCTTGTATTGTTATGGTTGAAGCTGAAGTAGTCATTGACAGGTAGGACTTTCTTGTATCCTTCCCTGTCCCGTTTCTTCTGGTCATTTTTTAACTTTCCCCCCTTTCACTTCCCATTCCCTGTTTTTAAATCTTTTAGAGTTAGTTAAGTTTGTATTTTATCTTTCCTTGAAACTTCATAAAGAAGAGGTAAGCTGATTTAGTAACTAAATAGCTGCTGGCCTCCTGAGTCAAAGGGAAATTTTCTAGGGGCAATAACCATCCTTCATTGACTTTTCTCCATTTTGCTCCTAAGAGAAGGCTCACAATTTTGAAAGTTGCCTGGTCCAATTCATCCTCTCTCACTTCTTCGAGGGGGACCAGTGTGGCCTCAACACCTTTGTTCTGTGAAAAGACAAGAGGAGATAGCTTTCCTCATTAAAAGGCACAGGATGGAAAGTCACAGATGTGCCAATAAGGAAATGGAAGAAAAACAAAACAAAAAAGCCCAAGGGTGATGAGAAAGTTGCATTCTGCTGCCTGGAATTTCCAGGCAAGACCAAAATAACCTTATCCAAAGTCAGGACATACATAGTTTTTGAGACACTGTTGGGGAGAACTGAGTAATTTGAAGAGTTTAGGTAGCCAAATAAAGCATTGTTCAATAAATGCTCAATGATAGCTAATTGCAAATTGTGTGCAAGCAAGATAGCTGCAAAGTCTCACAATCAGCTATGATATGGTTTGTCTTCTTCCGAGATGTGTCTTAGATTTCTCAGCCAAGACCACAATCTGGGGAGTTCCTGATGTTCTTCCACTCAGTTAACCCTATCCAATCCTGCTTAGCTTCCCAGTTCTAACAAGGTCAGCCAAAGTATTCACCCTGTCCCAAATGCCTAAATAATGAAGTAAAAGAAAGTTCTATCCATAATATGAAGCTGATTTTAACCAAGATTAAATTATTCACATAAGCACACAGCCAAGTTACTAACACACATATGTGAACCTTGGTTAAAATCAACAATGGCATGGCCACCAAGACTGGTTAATATCAGTTGGTACCTGTTCCATTTCATCCTGTCTTTCTTCCTGTTCTTGGTTTTTGGCTGACTGCTGAGCTTTGTTTTCTTTGCTTTGGGCTAAGTGCTGAACTTTGCTTTCTTGGATTTTGGCTAAGCGCCGATCTTTAATTTCTTGGATTTGGGTTAATTGCTGAGCTTTGTTTTCTTGGGTTTTGGCTGAGCGCTGAGCTTTCATTTCTTGGCCTTTGGTTAATTGCTCAGCTTTGTTCTCGTGGCTTTGGGCTAATTGCTTATCCTTCTTTTTGTGGCTTTGGGCTAATTGCTTAGCCTTATTTTTCTGGCTTTGGGCTAACTGCTCAGCTTTGATTTCTTGGCTTTTGGTTAACTGCTGAGCTTTGAGTTTTTGAATTTTGGCTATGTTCTGAGCTTTGTTTTCTGGGCTTTTGGTTAACTGCTGAGCTTTGCTTTCTTGGATTTTGACTGGCTGCTTAGCTTTGCTTTCTTGGATTTTGACTGGCTGCTTAGCTTTGCTTTCTTGGATTTTGGTAAACTGTCGAGGTTTGCTTTCTTTGATTTTGGGTGGCTGCTTAGCTTTGCTTTCTTGGATTTTGGCTAAGGATTGAGCTTTGCATTCTGGGATTTTGGTTAACTGCTGAGGTTTGAGCTCTTGGATTTTGGTTAACTGCTGAGATTTGCTTTCTTGGATTTTGACTGGCAGATTAGCCTTCTTTTCTTGGTTTTGAGCTAAGCATTGAGTTTTGATTTCTCTGGTTTGGGCTATGCGTTGAGCTTTGATTTCTTGGCTTTTCATTAGCTGCTGGGGTTTGCTTTCTTGGCTTTTGGCTAAGGGCTGAATTTTGCTCTCTTGGATTTTGGCTAAAGGCTGAGCTTTGATTTCTGAGCTTTTGTTTAACTGCTGAGCTTTGCTTTCTTGGATTTTGACTGGCTGATTAGCCTTCTTTTCTTGGCTTTGGGTTAAGCAGTGAGCTTTGATTTCTTGGATTTTGGCTAAGCGCTCAACTTTGATTTCTGGGCTTTTGGTTAACTGCTGAGCTTTGCTTTCTTGGATTTTGGTTAACTGCTGACGTTTGATTTCTTGGATTTTGGCTAATGGCTGAGCTTTGCTCTCTTGGATTTTGGCTAAGGGCTGAACTTCAGTTTCTGGGCTTTTGGTTAATTGCTGAGCTTTGCCTTCTTGGGTTTTGGGTAAGTGCTGAGCTTTGATTTCAGGGCGTCTGTCTGACTTCTTAACCTTTTTTTCATGGCTTTGGCCCGGCTTATGCTTATTTCCATGACTTTGGCCTGGCTGCTTCTTCTCCTTCATTTTCGGGGCATTCTTATTTACCCCATCCTCCTTGTGGGGGGGCAAAAAAATTGGAAGCATAAGAGGACCTTACTCTTAATAAGGGGGGGGGATATATACAGGCAGCCCTCGACTTACAACTATAATGGGGACCAGATATTTCTGATGCCAAGCAAGGCAGCCGTTAAATGAGTCATGCCTGATTTAATGGACTTTTTTTGGACTGATAAGCAAAATCACTGCAGTTGTTAAGTGATTCATGCAAAATACATAAGCAAATCTGGCTTCCCTCACTGACTTCACTTGTTGGAAGTCTGGTAGTGAGGCAAATGGCTCCCTTGCATCCCTAGGATGCTGCGACAGTCACAAATACATGCTGGTTTCTAAGAACCAAAATGTTGATCATGTGACCTTGGGGGTGCTGCCATGGCCATAATTGCAAGGACGTACGTCACTTTTTTCATTTGCTGTTTGTTATATGTGGAAACTTGCGATACATATGTTAATATGTATCGCAAGTTACACCTGAGAAGTATACAGCAAAAGGGACTCCATCTTTGTTCATAATGTGACCTTTCTAGAATGATTACTGGTTATATAACAGTATCTAACAAACAGATCATGTTTTGTAACTTGTTATTCTGTAAAGTGAAAATATTGGGTTTTTGGTTGGAACATGGGGGTTTGTATTTTGGCTTGAGAATAATGTAAGAGATCCTAGGGTCATTCTGACCTGAACGGAACTGGTTAATGATCCATTGTGTTCAGAAGAACATAACAGGAAGATGCCATGAGAACAAGGGTAGTGTCCAAAGATAAGGAAACAGGTGGTAGGCTATGGGTGTGCCATAGTTGGATAGATTGTGAACCCAGGAAAGGGGCAGAGACTGTATATTTGAACCTGTATATATTCCTCAGCCTTCCTGGGGAAGGTGTCTTCTGCTATGAGAAGAATTCCCTTTTGTAAAAGCTTAATAATAAAGCTCTTTCATATTGTTCACTGTCTCTAGATGAGTTTTGTGATTTTTCTCACACTGTTATAACCTAAAATGGATGCTAAATGAATGGTTATAAGCCCCCCAAGGCAGCTGTCATGCCCCTGTCGGAATCTGATTCTGAAGGGGAGGCTGAGCAACTGTCAGGGAGTGGGAGTGTGGCTCTGTTGGCTGTGGAAGAAACTGGGGAAGGGCAAAGTCCGGCTGGGCAGAGCAGGGAGAGGTAGAGCAAGGCAGAGGGAATTCAGAGGAAGATCTAGGCCCACGCCCTCTTTATCCTAGGGCACGCAGGGAGGAACGCAGAAGGGAGCAACGTGAGTTGCATGGCTTACGGGGGAGGAAAGGGCCCCGATTCCCTTCATTAGCTGAAGCTGGAAACAGTGTTTTAAAAGGGAGGTTGCGCACAACAACTTGTTGGAAGCAAATTGTGAGTTATCTGTTGTTATCAAGGCTTATCTGGGTTCTTGGCATCTTCCAAACTGTGTGTGTTTTGGCTGTGCTTTCAAGTCTGCAATTCCTTCTCCTGTCCTGTCAAGTTAATTACTGCAGCGTGGTTTGTGTGGATTTTTATTTACAGTTTATATGTACTTTGTTTTTGGGCTGAATTTCCTACACTTAAAGACTGTTCTTGGGAGAGTTTTTTCTCCAGCCGAAGGTAACCTGGACATTGGGAGCAAAGTTGGAGGTACTAAAGAGACTCTTCTTACTTATCTGACTGTGTTGCCTTTGTGCCATGCCCCGGGTCATCACAGCAGCATTCTAGGACCCACTCTCTTTCTAATTTACATAAATGACCTTTGCCATCATATTAAAAGCAGCTGCGTCCTCTTTGCTGATGACGGAAAACTATTTAACACCACTGACAATACTGCTGCCCTACAAAGCTACCTTGACTTTGTGTCAGAATGGCCAAACAATTGGCAACTTCAAATCTCAACCAACAAATGCTCTGTCTTACACATTAGCAACAAAACACTAAATACAAACTGGGCGGATACGACCTCATAGATGACCCTCACTCTGTCAAGTACCTAAGAATACTCATTTCAAAAGATCTAAGCCCCAGAGCTCACTGTAACAGCATTGCCCCAAAGGCATTAAGAGTTGTTAACCTAATTTTGCTTCTTCTCCGGTAACATTGAACTGCAAACCAGGGCATACAAAATCTTCACCAGACCAATTCTTGAATACAGCTCATCTGCCTGGAGTCCACACTGTATAATGGACATTAATACAATTGAGCAAGACCAGAGGTATTTCACGAGAAGAGTCCTCCACTCCTCTGCTCGCAATAGAATACCTTATGCCACCAGCCTTGAAATTTTGGACCTAGACAAATTAGAACTACGTCGCCTACGGCCTGACCTAAGCTTAGTGCACAAAATTGTCTGCTACAATGTCCTACCTGTCAATGACTATTTCAGCTTCAACCACAATAACAGACGGGCAAACAATAGATATAACTCAAAGTAAACTGCTCCAAACTCGATTGCAAAAAATACGACTTCAGCAACCGAGTGGTCAATGCCTGGAACTCACTACTTGACTCTCTTGTGACATCCTCAAACCCCCAAAACTTTAACCTTAAACTGTCTTCCATGGACCTAACCCCATTCCTAAGAGGTCCTTCAAGGGGGCATGCATAAGCGCACCAGTGTGCCTACCATCCCTGTCCTACTGTTCCCATTTAGTTGTACTTATTATGTATACTTACACCCGTTTATACTTGTATGTTTATATGGTGATAAACATATGGGGCTGCTGTAATGGCCATAGACTATGAAAAACAGCCATAAGTTCCTTTTTTCAGTGCTGTTATAACTTCAGTACTGTTATAACTTCAAACTGTTGCTAAGTGAATTAAATGTAAGCCGAGGACTACCTGTACATGTGGTACTATTTACAAAATTAAAATTAAAAAACCCACCCTAATAGCAATCAATACAATTCTTGGCAGCAGAAGGATCCTTTTCACAGAGAGAGACTATAGCAAAGATTCCAGCGGCTCTCAACAAAATGGCTCCATCA